TTTATTAGCTTTCTAATATGTCCTGAAGTAAGCCATGCTTATTTTCATATTGCAGACTGGGAAAATTGAATTTGGTGGTACACTTAGGTTATTCACACATGCAGCAAACATTTACTAAAGAATACCTTATGCAAATAATATTTTTATTTCTCTGTACAAAAAAATAACTTTGTGATATGATCTAACAGAGAGTACTGAAATGTAGTAAATAGTTAAACAGTTATTGAGTGCACACTATATAACTGAGCTAAGTAAAACACAATGGAATACTGTTATAGCTGAATAGAGATGATATCTATATAGGTGAAATGGGAAAACACATAATGCAGGTATTTGTTGTCATGGAAACCAAGGAGTTTCTGTATTTAAGCTGAATGAGACCTAATTAAGCATAAAGAAGGAAAGTTTTCTGGAGAGAGAAATTCATAGACAAAGGAGGGGAGATTTGAAAGACTGTGGAATATTGGAGAAAAAAATAAGGAATCTTCTGTAGCTAAAAAGGTAGGAGAGAATAGCAAAGAGTATATTTGAAAAGAATGGTAGATAAAATATTTTGAGAGAGCTCAAACAACTTACTAATAAGAGAAAGAAGACAAAGACAATTATTCATTAGACAGGAAGTGCTTAGATACATGCAAGAAGATTTTGTTGCCCAAGAAAAATCAGGATTTATGTAGAAAGAGAGGGAAACACCCTATTCAAATGGTCCAGTCATTATACAAGGATAATAGCAATAGAGACAAATGTAAAAATGCAAGATTTGGAAAATTTCAAAGGTCATCAGTGAAAAACTGTGTGAGAATGTTCAAGGAGTGGGAAGAGATAAAATTTTAACTCAGTGTTTTTGTTTTTTGTTTGTTTTTCTTCCCTTTTGGCAATTGAACAACTGATTTGGTGGCTGTTTTGATTCTCTAGTGCTGCTCCCACAGAAAATACCAAAAATGGATAACTTGGAGTTCGTGTAAGATGGCAGACTAGGCAGAAAGACTACATAGACCCTCTTCAACAAAGAAAAGAGAAACCAATTAACACAGACACATAAGATAATCCTGGACCCTTGAGCGTTGAAGGGAAGGCTTTAGAAGTGGACTAAACCCCAACTAGCAGAAGAATTTGCATGAAAATACCAAAAAAGGAGACATACAGAGCTGTGGTCTGGCAGTGATCCTGAGCGATCCTGA